ACTACAAAGCCATAATCATCAAAACTGCATGGTATTGGAACAAGAACAGACATACAGACCAATGGAATCGAATAGAAAATCCAGAAATAAACCCACAGATTTATGGTCAACTAATCTTTGACAAAGGAGCAAAGACTATGCATTGGAGCAAAGAAAGTTTGTTCAATAAATGGTGCTGGGAAAACTGGGTCGCTACATGCAAAAGAATGAAGCTTGACCACTACCTCACACCATACACAAAAATCAACTCAAAATGGATTAAAGAACTAGACATAAGACCTGAAATCATAAAATATATAGAAGGAAATATAGGCGAAACACTACGTGATTTGCACATCAAAGACATCTTTACAGACACATCACCCAAAGCAGTGATAGTGAAGGCAAAGATAAACAGCTGGGACTACATCAAATTAAAGAGCTTCTGCACAGCAAAAGAGACAATAACAAAAACAAAGAGAAACCCCACCAACTGGGAGAACATTTTTGCACCCAACACTAATGATAAAGGACTGATCACAAAAATCTGCAAAGAGCTGATGAGACTCAACAACAACAAAGAAAATAATCCAGTCAAAAAATGGGCAGAAGAGCTAAAAAGAAACTTCTCTGAAGAGGAAATGCAAATGGCCAACAGGCATATGAAAAAATGTTCAACATCACTTGTCATCAGGGAAATGCAAATCAAAACTACCATGAGATACCATCTTACACCAGTGAGAATGGCACATATTAAAAAAACGAGCAACAACAAATGTTGGCGAGGGTGTGGAGAAAAAGGAACTCTTCTGCACTGTTGGTGGGAGTGCAAACTGGTCCAACCACTGTGGAGAGCTGTGTGGAGATTTCTGGACCTACTAAACATAGAGCTTCCATATGATCCAGCAATTCCACTCCTAGGTATTTACCCAAAGGACACAGAAACATCCATTCCAAAGAACACCTGCACCCCTATGTTTATAGCAGCACTGTTTACAATAGCTAAGCTTTGGAATCAACCCAAATGCCCAAAAATAGATGACTGGATCCAGAAGATGTGGTACATATATACCATGGAATATTACTCAGCATTCAAAAAAGATAAACACATGCAATTTGCAGCAACATGGATGGCGCGGGAAGGGATCATGCTCAGTGAAATAAGCCAAAAAGAAAAAGAAAAATACCGGATGGTCTCACTCATAGCAGGAATCTAGAAAACTTAAATAAGGGACCAGGAAAATGAATAACTATAAGAAAGTGAAAATCAAAACCAACAAAAAACTATGAACCAGAGACACTTTTTGGGGGGTGGGGGCGGGAGGGGAGGGATTGGGGTCAGAATGGGGGAGCTGCAATTGTATGGGGAATATAAAAATAAAATTTATTATTTAAAAAAAAAAAAAAACATAAGCTCCTGGGGCTCCTTTTTAGAAGTCTTGCACAGACCCATTTACCTCTGATTAAAAAGGGCTTTTTTCACCCAGGAAGGTATATTCCAGGGGCAGAAAGCCAACCACATTGGCAATCCTCATCCACTGAACAGTCGCCCTTAATCCAGAGCTTTTTACTGAACCATTTTTCAATCTTCCCCGGAAGTGTTGGTACCTGAAATTGGAGCAGGAAATTGTGACCTTTTGCTCCAGTCTGATGTAGGTTTCTGTGGAGAAGCTGGAAACCCCGTGGAAAAGGCTTTGCCCTTTCCGTGTAAAAAAAAAAAAAAAAAAAAAAAAAAAAAGAAATCATTCCTGATATTATGTAATTTCAGAAGAGGAACATGTAAACACACATTACTCAAATCTGTTTTTTAACACAATTTCATTTCACTAGATGCCATTTTTTTTTTAATAGAGGCATGTTTTATTTATTTATTTATTTGTTTGTTTTGTTTGTACATGCACTGGGTACAGTCAGAAGAGCGGGAGGGTGAGAGAATTCACCAGAGTCAGAGCAGGAAGCAGAGCAGGCAGAAGGACCGAAGTACACTGCTGAGGGGAGCAGCGGGCGGCAGGAGAGGTCTGCGTGCCATGTGGGACCCTCTCTGGTGGCCGGGGAGCAGCCAGGGATTGAACCGGCGCCGCAGAGGCTGCAGGCAGCTTCGCAACCCAGCGCTCAACCGCTGCGCCACCAGGGAGGCCCTCACTAGATGCCATTTTGAGCAGAGTCAGAAACATGTGCCTAAAAACATAACATAATTAGAAGAATCTTAAAGATGCAGCTGGCATTTTTCTCTCAAGAAAATGATGGGAAATTAAAATTTCTTCAAATCTTACCTTTTTTCAAAGAATATTAGAATGGAAATTAGAAATTAGAAATTAGAATGGAAATTCTAATATGGAAAGTTTTTTGTAAACTGATACATATTGCATTCATTTTTATAATAGTTCCAAAGAACAGAAGCAATTAATTCCTATTCCCAATGAATGTTACTAATTAGGGCTGTAAAGGTTACGTGGTGAGGACTAAGAGGCCTACAGTTTCTCTGGTAATTTCTAAAAACAAGCTATAGACTGATACCTATGTTCCCGGGTTACGCAGTGGAGACATTAGGACTTGGCCTAATGCACACAAATTATGTCTTTCAAGAGACAGATATAAGTGACATGCTGAGTATTAGAAATAATTATTTTTCAATAATAAAAGGTTATATAGTACGGCAAGTACATGCACACATACAATGACAGAAACAAAACAACTTTTTTGAAAATTCAAGGCTTCCAGTCTCTACAAAGGCTAGGAGAGCCATCCCAATTTACCTTCTATACGTACTATATTAGAGCATTCAAGGGTAGTGATGCTCACAGTGATAGCTAGCACTATAGAACTGCACCAGTTTTCATTTAATATCCATGATAACTCTACAAAGGAGGTTCCAGCACAATCTCTAGTTCACAAATAGGAAAATTGACATTTAGGGACATAAAACAACATAGACCAGGTATACCGCTACAACCAGCCAGGCTGTGATTTGCTGAAAGCAACCAGGTCTAAAGTATGTAGCTTTAAACACTATACTATAATGCCTGTCATTATGAGGCAAAGCTACCAGAAGATTCTAAAACACCTATTGATTCATCTAATAAACACTTAAGGGTGCTTAAATATAACATTCATATCCAAGTGTATTTTATTGGATTCAAATTCTATCAAAATTACTTCATGCAAATCCAATACTTTCCAGTTAATCAATTCCCCACTCTCCAGCTACTGTGCAAATAAGAACTTTCCTCACAATCAGGTCTCTGTATTTTGTTTTAAGTTTTTAAAGATTTATATATTTCTGCATATAAGAGCTGGTGTGCAGGCCAGAGATAGAGGGGGGAGAGGATTCACCAGAGACAAAGTGGGGAGCAGAACAGGCAGATCTACTGAAACACACTGCTGAGGGGAGCAGCAGGCAAGAGAGGAGAGGTCTGCTGTGCCATGTGGGCAACCTCCCTGGCCGGGGATCAAACTCGTGCTGCAGTGGCTGCAGACAGCGTCATAGGGCTGTGTCTTAATCACTTGGCCACCAGAGAGGCCCAGGTCTCTAAGTTTTGATGTCATTTTCACGCATGTATATGTGTTCTACATGCTGCGGGGCATCCCAGAGAGACAATATGAAAGCAGGCAGAAAGAAAAAGGCAAGTGTTTGGAAAAACAAAAAATAAGTCAACTTGCTACCTTAAAGTACCACGTGAGAGGTTATCAAAGGGAAGGGGAGAAAGGAGGTGAGTAAATTGATTAAAAGTGGTGAATTACATGGTAAGAATGGTACTTGTAGTGGTGAACTTAATGTAGTATGTACAGATGTTGACTTAAAATGATGCACATATAAAACTTATGTAACGTTATAATGTAATGTTACTTCAATTAAAAAACTTTTAAATAATTACATGAGAATAACAAATGAGTTTTTACTGAAAGTTGGAAACTGGAGTTTTGCCAAAATAAAATCTAAATTTTTTTTAAGGTTTTTTTTTTTTAAAGATTTATTTATTTATACAAGCACTGGGTACAGTCAGAAGCACCGGAGGGTGAGAGAATTCACCAGAGCCAGAGCGGGGAGCAGAACAGACAGACTGACGAAATACACTGCTGAGGGGAGCAGCGGGAGGCAGGAGAGGTCTGTCGTGCCATGTGGGACACTCACTCGGTGGCCGGGGATGGAACCAGCGCTGCAGAGGCTGCAGGCAGCTTTGCAACCCAGCGTTCAACTGCTGCGCCACCGGGGAGGCTCAAAATCTAAAATTTTTAACCAAACAAAATTTTTCATAGTTTATCATTCCTATTGGTGACTCCTTGGAATGTCAAAGTTGAAAATTCAAAGTGTTCTATAAAAAAATGTCTGACAAGGGCCTCCCCGGTGGCGCAGCAGTTGAGCGCTGGGTTGCGAAACTGCCCGCAGCCTCTGCAGCGCCGGTTCAATCCCCGGCTACTCCCCAGCCACCCCACCGGAGGAGGGTCCCGCATGGCACGCAGACCTTTCCTGCCGCCCGCTGCTCCCCTCAGCAGTGTACTTCAGTCCTACTACCTGCTCTGCTCCCCGCTCTGGCTCTGGTGAATTCTCTCACCCTCCCGCGCTTCTGACTGTACCCAGTGCTTGTATAAATAATCTAAAAAAAAAAAAAAATTAAAAAAAAATGTCTGACAAGAGGTTTCCTCCTCCCTTAGTGCAGGTTTTTTGTTTTTTTTTTTAAGATTTATTTATTTATGCATATAAGGACTGGGGTACAGGCCAGAGGTGCGGGGAGTGGGGGTGAGAGGATTCACTAGAGACAGAGTACGGAACAGAACAGGCAGATTGACTGAAACACTGCTGAGGGGAGCAGCAGGCGAGTCAGGAGAGGTCTGCTGCACCATAATATGGGTAGCTCCCTGGCTGGGAACCGATCTCGTGCTGCAGTGGCTACGGATAGCTTCATAGGTTGGGTCTTAACCCCTTGCACCACCATTGAGGCCCTCCCTTAGCGCAGTTTTTTAAAAAAATCAAAATAAATAACACGAATGAGCCTAGTGCAGCTGCACTTTCATCTACTTACAGTGCTGTTGCTTCAGACACAATGGAACTAGTGTGTGAAGAGACCCAGGAAATGCGAGCACTGCCCTCTAGTCCACAGGAGCTGAGTCCTCCAGCAGTGGGCACTCCTATGTTTGCACAGAACTCCACACAGTGAAAGACTGGGGCCCTTCATCCTCTTTGGATGAAGAACGAAGAGCACAGATTCAATTATGAGATGATTGTCACTTAGGTGGAAGAGGTCTTCTCAAACCAACTGGCCTTTCCCTTAGAGAAAACTGAATTTTCTCTGCTGCCTTTTTCTGACATTTCAGTTTATTCAAGCGCTTCATTTCATAATCCCTTTCAAATTTGACACCTGAAAAATAAAATACATGAAGCAATCCAACTGACATTTTTCTCCAGGTATAATTTAGTCAAAACAGAACATTTATCACACAGAAAAATTCACTATCTTGAATGCTAAACAAGAAGACAGGACTACATAGGTAGGGGGGGTGTGTATAAATGAGCATTAGTTCAACATTTCTCTGATAATAAGCAAAATAACACACACAAAACCTGCAATTTATTAAAGTAGTTCTAACAGAACTTACATTCCGGAGAAGGCAACAGATTATCCTTGACGGTTATATATTTTTGGAGGTGTAAAGGATTACCAAATGTAATTTCTTCCAAGAAAGGCAATTTGATGTTCATTATGTTTGTGTACCAGGTCTTTGTAAGCAGTGCAAGATCCCAAGGTTCCTGCCTGGGGTAAAAATTTATGAAGTCATTCAATGAATATTTATCAAGCATCTACTATAGGACATTCAGAAGACATCTTATTAATTACTAATTCCATTTTCCACTAGACACTTTAGCTTACAGGGATTATTCAGGATTTTTCAAAGCTGCATTCTAGCCAGGAGAAGGAAACTTATTTTAACTAGTGTGGATCTATACTGAAAAAAATATCATATGAAGGGTAAAATTGGACTTTTCATAGTGAACTTAATGTATGCAGTATATACAGCTGTTGATTTATAATTATGCACACCTGAAACTTATGTTATAATGCAAAATTACCCAATAAAAATCTTTTTTTTAATTACTATCACTTATAACAGGCATTTTATTCACAATACAACCTCCCTAGAGTGACTCCAACTTTCCATGTCTTTTTTTTAAAAGATTTATTTATTTATGCATATAAGAGCTGGGGTATAGGCCAGAGGTGTGGGGGGTCATGAGAGGATTCACCAGAGACAGAGTAGGGAGCAGAACAGGCAGATCTACTGAAATATACTGCTGAGGGGGAGCAGTGGGTGAGACAGGAGAGGTCTGCTGCGCCATGTGGGTTAGTTCCCTGTGGATTACTTCACAATGCTAAGACTTAATCCCTGCACCACCAGGGAGGCCCTTTCCATGTCTTTTAAGAAAATGTGTCTAAGAATTGTAAGCTCCAAATCTTTTATGATTAATCAAAAATAAGGTCACACTAGGGAAGAAACAAAGGGAATAATGCATTGAACAGTGCCTGTCATACACTAAGGCTTTGAGTGTGTGATCTTATTTTGATCCTTATAACCACCACATAGGGAGACAAGGAAACTGAGACTCAGAAGTCAATTAAGAACCAGAGCTGGTACTTAGCCTAGGTGTATTTATTTAGAAGCACTACTTCTAGGACTTAGAAGGCTGGAGAAGCGGGGCTCCCTGGTGGCTCAGGGGTTAAAGACAGAGCTATCAAGCTACTGCCAGCCTCTATAGCACGAGTTCAATCACTGGCCAGGGAGCTGAACCACATGGCGCAGAAACCTCTCTTGACTCACCCACCATTCTCCTCAGCAGTGTATTTCAGTCAGTCTGCCTGTTTTGCTCCCCATTCTGTCTTGTGAATGCTCTCATCGCCCCGCACCTCTGGCTTACACCCCAGTTCTTGTATGCATAAAAATAAATCTTTTTTTAAAAAAAAGAAGACTGGAGAATACATGAAATCCAAACTACATTATTAAAAATAATCACTGTGGGGCCTCCCCAGTGGTGCAGTGGTTGAGTGCTGGGCTGCGAAGCTGCCTGCAGCCTCTGCAGCACCAGTTCGATACCCGGCCATTGGCGAGGGTCCCACATGGCGTGCAGACCTCTCCTGCCTCCCACTGCTCCCCTCAGCAGTGTGTTTTGGTCCTTCTGCCTGTTCTGCTCCCCACTCTGTTCTGGTGAATTCTCTCACCCTCCTGCGCTTCTGACTGTACCCAGTGCTTGCATAAATAAATAAATAAATCTTTTGAAAAAAATAATAATCACTGTGAACCATAATTGTATTGTGTTATGTATCTCAGGTCAAAAATTTCAAATATCACTACATGCTTCCCATGTGAGTTCATGTGCAAGAGGAAAGTGGAAAGACCTGCCTTGGAACAAGTAAGGGACATAAAGATGTCACATACATACCATCCTTTATTTTCCTCCTCCAGCTTCCTTACTACTTTATGATCTAACTTTAAGGAGTGACATGACGTCTACCATTATTATAGATGTACTTGAACAAGTACACAAAGATGTATTTCTAGCAGTGTTCACTGAAGCATTGTTTGTTTTTAAAAAAAACACGGAAATAGCCTTACTATCTATCAAGAAAAGCCTTGAGAAACAAACATGTCATAAAAGATGGTTACCCTTATATGTAGATATGGAAAGATGAGCAATGAAAGAGCTAATATTTATCTGGCACTTACTATGCATTAGGCATTGTTTTAATCCATTTACAGATATGAACTCATTTAATTGCTGAGGTAATTCTAAGATGTATTCAGTTGCTAGTATTATGCTTGATTTACAAATCCGTAAACAAGAGCAGAGAACAGTTTGCCCAGTCACAAGGTTCATTGTGGGTTTGTGATTTCAACCCAGAAAGTCAGACTCTAGAATCTGTGCTTAACCACCAGACTAACTTAACCACCAGACTTAACCACCAGACTAACAAGATATACTGGAGGATGGGAGGATGCAGTGAAGTTCAATCCCACATGTAAAAATACGTGTATTTATATTCACGTGTATCTTGCACAACAGATAAAAATCCTAGAAGAATATAAAACATTTTACCTCTGAATAGGTCTAGAGAGGGATGGAAATTGGAGTATGAGAAGCAGCATTTTTATTTTCATTTCAGCTTTTATAGTGTTTTTAGTGTATCATTTTTGTAATTTTCTAAAAAACAGTTAACAAAGAAAAGCCTACAGTGAGGCGTTCCCCTAGCAAATGACCTCCAAAGGGTGCTAATACCATTTGGTTCCTCTTAATTTAACTGCTCTTATCAATATTGAATACTTTCCTGTGCAAATGAATGGGAAGTCATGGTTTTGCAGAGATTATTGATGATATAAAGTTCCACATTAAAAAATCCAAAAAAATCAGTGCTTTCAATCATTTTTCAGACATAAGGATATCTTCATTTTGATAATTATGTTTACAATAATATTGACTACTAGGGTATTTGCTTATATAGTTCAATGTCTAAATACATACTAAACTAACAAAACTAAATATGAATTTTCTCTGACTTTCCAATAGCTCTGGTTTTACAACCCCATAAATTGTCTCCAATTACTTCTCAGATTATTGTTAAAAAGAAAATTTCAATTGACTCAATGACAAATATGTCATTGACTAAAGTGGAGAGGTTAAAAAAAGTCAAAAAAGGGCCTCCCCGGTGGTGCAGCGGTTGAGCGCTGGGTTGCGAAGCTGCCCGCGGCCTCTGCGGCGCCAGTTCGATCCCCGGCTGCTCCCCGGCCACCGGAGGAGGGTCCCACATGGCGTGCAGACCTCTCCTGCCGCCCGCTGCTCCCCTCAGCAGTGTACTTCGGTCCTTCTGCCTGCTCTGCTCCCCGCTCTGGCTCTGGTGAATTCTCTCACCCTCCCGCACTTCTGACTGTACCCAGTGCATGTATAAACAAAACAAACAAACAAACCAGCAAACAAATAAATAAAGCATGCCTCTATAAAAAAAAAAAAAAAAAGTAAAAAAATCAAACAGAAAACAAGGCAGAACTATAATACTACAAAGGGAAGTTACTAAATGGTAACAACCCATGTTCATTGTGAGTTTGCTATATATCAGACAATATGCAACTACTTCACTTCATTTGTGCTCAACAACTTAGACAGATACTGTTGTGTCCACTTAACAGATGTGGAGGACAAGGCACAGAGAAATTAATTTACTCAGTGTCTCATAGGGAGCAAGGGCAGGGCCAGGCTTTTAGCCTAGGTCTTCCCAATTTCCAAGTCCATGTTGTCCATACATTGCCTGCCGGAGTCTACAGGATATGAAACTGACCCTTTGTACCAGCTAATTAAGTGTTGCTGAGATATGCCTGACATTAGGCATTTTCAAGTAGATTTACAGTAGGTATTCTAAGGTGGTGGGTGGTATTTAAAAAAATGTTGCTTTGGAATAAGAAGACTCAGGCTTCTAACCATTACTTACTACGACTATGAAACTTTGAGCAAACTACTTCTCTCGGTTTTCTCATTTGAAAGTGTTGTTTTGTTGTAAAGACCGAGTAAGATAATTTGTTAAGTCTTATAAAAATCACATTTCTTTATTTTTTTAAATCACATTTCTTTAAGAAAATCATTATCCAAACACCTAAAAATGCTTCAGATGGTCCATAATCTAACGGGGTACATAAAGGCACACTCCCATCCTCACTCAAGGCTTCCCAGGATAAAAATACTTACACTTTGTAAGAAGAGCCCCGCAAAATAGTTTTCATTGTGTTCTTTCTTGGCAAGCCATAAGCCATGTTGAATTATTACAGCCCTATCTCTCACAGAGATGTCTATTGTAATCACAGGGATACTCTTGATTTTTGCCTGAAAAGATGGCAAAGCGGTTAATCACCTTCACTTTACTATTTTTAAATAGTCAAATAATTAAAAAGATTCAGATAACGCATCTCTGAAAAACATTCAGAATGCCCCTAATAAATGTCCATTAAACCTGAACACCTAATGTAGAATTGTTTTCTTTCCCTGTCCATAAACTTGTTTTGTCGTTTCCAGCGATGTTGAGGAGAAAATGCCAGGCTAACAGCATGGGGATTCCGTCATGGTGCTATCATTGCCTCAACCAGCCAAACCGGCCCAAACACCGCATCACCAGGACGTGTCAGCGGGTGGCACCGTGGGGCGACTACTAGCGCCGCGGGCACAGGAACTTCCCGGCCCACGCCCCACCGCCCGAGCCCTTTAAAAGATGCAACCCTTTCCAGGATTCAAATATCTGAACTTAATAAGTGACCAACTTGAAGCGCCATCCTCCTGCCCTCTCCGGCACCCCTCTGGGGAGCGCGTCTCCCACCCACTACCTGCAGCTCCTAGTCGCAAGCGGGTCTCGCAGGCTGGGAGGCGTCGGCCCGGGGCGAAGGTGCGGGCCCCCGCGCGGCACCTTCCCACGCCCGCGCCCCGCTCTCGCTCCCACCCGCCCCACAAGTGCGGAGGCGCGCCCAGTCTGCCCAGCCCGGGTTGGGGAGTTGGTCCGGCCCGGGAAACGGGAGGGGCGCCTGATTACCAGCAAAGAGGGGCTGGGAGGGCCGCGGTCCCGCGCGGACCCAGGGCAGAGCTCGACGGGGTTTAGACGCACTAGTCTTCGCACACGACTCCGTCCTGTGGCGCTGGGAACAGCAGTGGCGCCCAGAGCGCAATACGCTGGCCTTCAACAAAGGGCTGTGTGATGCGGGGGAGTGGGAGGGGCCCTCGAGGGGGCCGGGGCGCCAAGTCCGAGCCCTGCGACCCCCAGAGTTCTCTCGGGGCGGGAGCTTAGGGTGACAGCCGAAGATAGACACACTTTTTAAAAAAATATATTTTTTATTTTATATAATTCTTACATCATTTTTTATTTGTGCACAATGTATGCATTTTCATGTTGGTTATATTCCCCAGGGGGTTCCGCCCCCCCTTATTTTGACACTAATCCCTCCTCTCCTCCTCACCCCGCCCCAGTGTGTCTCTGGTTTATAGTTGCTTGTTGATTTTTATTTTTTCTTTATTATAATTAGTCCTTTTCCTGGTCCCTTATTTAGGTTTTCTAAATACTTGCTATGAGTGGGACCATCCGGTATTTTTCCTTTTTATTTCTGGCTTATTTCGCTGAGCATGATCCCTTCCAGCTCCATCCATGTTGCTGCAAATTGCATGAGTTTATCTTTTTTGATTGCTGAGTAATATTCCATGGTGTATATGTACCACATCTTCTGGATCCAGTCATCTATTTTTGGGTATTTGGGTCGTTTCCAAAGCTTAGCTATTGTAAACAGTGCTGCTATAAACATAGGGGTGCAGGTGCTCTTTGGAATTGATGTTTCTGTGTCCTTTGGGTAAATACCTAGGAGTGGAATTGCTGGATCATATGGAAGCTCTATGTTCAGTAGGTCAAGAAATCTCCACACAGCTCTCCATAGTGGTTGCACCATTTTGCACTCCCACCAGCAGTGCAGGAGAGTTCCTTTTTCTTCACGTCCTTGTAAGATGGGCACACTCTTGACAGAACAAAACTCAGAAATGAATGAGAACTAAGCTAGGCCTGTCCCCTTAACTGATTCGGGGAACATTTGAGGGCACCTCTGAAGAAATGTGCTCAGTTCTGACATAGTCACTGTGAGCAACTCTTACTGGTCACGCTTGGGGGAACTGAAGCTTGTTTGTGTTTCCAACGTGCCTCAAGGCAGTTTTAAAAACTAATGCTCAAAATCCGCAAGTAAGTTAAGTTGTGTGTTCATATTATGAGGAGTGTGACAGGATAGGAAAGGTGCTCTGATGGACCAATTGCTGAAGTCATTACACTGATGTGATTCAGGATGAATCTATAATACCTCACTTGGTCACCAATCGACGTCAAACGAAAATAGCTTACCTTTTCATTTTGCATCAGGGTGCTGGAGTCAGAACTGGTTTGGGATTCTAGCTCTGCCATGTGCTCACTTTATCTTGCTTCTTGAACTTCTCTAAGCATCAATTTCTTAATCTATAAAATAGGTGTAATACTTTATAGCTTAATGGGTTGTTGTGAGGCTTCAAGACCATGTCTGTAAATTATCTGCTAAGTGAGTAATTATCTAATTTAGAGTCCAGTAACAACTTTATGAAATAGACTAGGGGAACACTACTTATTATACCACTTGTAGAGAGGTTAAAAGATTGCCCAAGGTCACATAACTACTGAGTTGCAAGGCCAACTTTTGAAGTTAAATACCCTCCGCACCCTGACAAGCTACATCTGATAGGAACTCCTACCTAATTAGAATAGACTCCCATAGTTGACCCATCTTCAAAAGGTGTTTTTGTGTCTCCCAGAGGCTAGAAGAGGAGGGCTCTCTTTCTCTTTAACATTTTTATCCTAGTTCCAATGAAAAATGAACAGCATGGGCCTCCCTGGTGGTACAAGGGGTTAAGCACAGCACTATGAAGCTATCCCCAGCCTCTGCAGCACAAGTTTGATCCCCAGCCAGCCAGGGAGCAACCCACATGGTAAAGCAGACCTCTCCTGTCTTGCCCGCTGCTATATTCAGCAGTGTATTTCAGTCAATCTGCCTGTTCTGCTCCCCACTCTGTCTCTGTTGAAGCCTCTCACACCCCCCCACACTTCTAGCCTACACCCCAGTTCCTGTATGCATAAATAAATAAAATAAATCTTAAAAAAAAAGAAAAATGAACAGCATGGAGTGAAATTGGATGTCAGTATTAAATACACACACGCACACACACACACACAAATAATGAAACAACTAATGTATTATGAAAACAATTTAATAGATTTGGGGCTAATTTTTTTTAATGAAATAGCATTGAATGGGGAGAAAATTAGTATACACTGTGTAAATAAGTGTGATTACATGTTTTTTTAATTTTATATATTTTTACATCATTTTTCATTTTTGTATAATGTATGCTTTTTCATCTTGATTATAGTTCCCACAAAATTCCCACCACCTTTATTTTGATCCTACTTTCTTCTCTGGTTTATAGTTGCCTATTGATTTTGGTTTTTACTTTTTTATAATTAGTTTTTTTCCTGATAATTACATATTGTTTTATGGAACTCTCATGCTTCTTATACATGTACATGCAGTTTCAATGCAAAATATAGTTGCTGCAGTGCATCTGGAAAATTTGAGGTTTGTTTGTCTAAGAACATTTCATTTCAGATACAGGTAAATTTTTGAGATAGGTAAAATTGCACTTTAGAGACAGACTGAGAAGTTAACTGATGCTCTAGAGACAGCCCATCTTCAGACTGAGGTTGCAATTGGATCCCTGACCTAGGCTCTTTCAATAAATAAAGAAATCAAGAATCAGAGAGAAGATGTGATGTGTCCAGGGCCATCAAAGAGAGAGTGCAGACAGCTTGTGATTTCTCCATGTGGGGTTTTCTATATATATTTTCTATATAGAGAGAGACAATTCTTGACAATTGTTTTTAGTACTTTTCTATGTGACTCACCTTGAACAAAAAAGTAGTGGAAGTTATGGATTATGACCTCTGAGATGAGGTCATAAAAGGCATTGTGATGTCTTGCTATCTCTCTTAGATCACTACCACTGGAACTGACTAGTTGCCAAGTTTTGGGAAGGTACTTAAGTCATCTGATAAGGAAATTCACATGCAAGGAATTGAGGCCCCTCACCAACAACTGGAGAGCTGAGACCAGACAATTATGTGAGTGAACCAACTTGGAAGTAGAGCCTCCAAGACTCAAGTCATACCTTCAGATGGCTGCAGTGTCAGATGATATTTGGCTGAAATTTCATGGAAGACCCTGAACCAGAAGCAATAAGCTAAGCTGCTCCAGTATTCCTGGCCCTTAGGAAATATAACAAATGTGTCATTTGAAGCTACCAACCTTTGATAAAAACAGCAGCAGATAGCTAATATACCATTCAGTGTCTTATTATAGAAGGAATTTGCACATAGACAAATATAGCCACATTTTTGCATTTGGGATCAATAATTTGAACCCAAAATGTATTTACAGGGCATACTGATTTTGCTAAATCTCACCCAGGATAGTTAGGATTCTTAAAAACTGTAAATACAGAAAATATGTGGCAACACCACTCCCCCACATGTATTTAAAAGTAAAAAAAAAAAAAAAAAAAAAACACTAATTCCCATAGAAGTTGGAAAGATATCCAATGAAGACATGGGTTCCCCTCACCCCAGGATGATTATTTCAATACTCTCCTTTGAAATACCAATTTCTTTCTAAGTCAGTGTCTGTCTGTCTGTCTGTCTCTCTCCCTCTCTCTCTCTCATGCCTTTCTCCCCTCTCTCCCTTTAACTCTATATCTCTCCCACTGTTTTCTGGAACCCTATGGACACTTTTGTATTGCTAAGCCTTCACCAGAAAGTTAGCCATTTTCATTTAATTCTATAAGAAGCCGTTGCTGCCACCTACTGTTAAACTGAAGTACCAGGATATAACAACACAAAAGCAGCGTTTTGGAAATTGCTCAAAATACTTCATATGTACTGTCTCACTTAATATTCTTAGCAATAGATGCAATTAACTTAGTGATGTTATTAGATTATTAAAAACTTGAGTTACCTCAAGCATGAATAATTTTTCCTAGGTTACAGGACGAACCCAATTCTGATTTGTTGCACGCCCCATCATAGTACAGTACACTTTCTCCTGGGATTGTAATTGGACAAGGTTTTAGAGTGTATACTTGTAAATATTTTTAGCACTACCCTTTTTAAGTATTCTGCTAATTTCTCATTTTATAGATATAAAATACACATATATAGACATATTCATTCTAATTTCAAAGGGTCATGTTTTATATTTTTGATATAGTATGTAAATTACAGATGCAGCTTACATGTTTTCATGATTATTTCCAAAGCTTCTCTAGTAAGGAAACTAACTTAAAAGTAATGATAAAGCAACATATCTGGAAAACTTAAAAAATCACCAAGAACAGCACTGAAAGTTCTGAATATTCTCAACATTTCTGTACTACTTCGGTCCTAATGCTCTCACCTCCCTAGCTTCTTCTTTACTTGTTCCCTATTTTCCCCCATCCCTTTTAAATGGGTGTATCCCCCTTATTGGTGTGTGTGTCCTTACCTACCCCAGAACTCTCAGTGGCTCCACCATCACTAATGCAACAGTCATTCTCTTTGGAGCGGATTCACTAGCCAGCCTTGGCTTCTGATCTGAGTTCATATCCTGTATTTCCATCATTTTGCAGGCCCTTCCTACCTGACTATTCTGTTCAGATGTTAATATATCTAATATGTAATCCATTACTCACTAAACCATCTCTTCTATCTTTTCTATTTCTGGGAATGACCCTATGAGTCTCCCTAGAGTCCAGCTTAGAGCACTGGAATGATTTTTAAGGTATATTGCTGGGCCAGCCATCATTCTTAGCTACCTGACATCTGGTCCTTACAACATAGGATGGAAGAAGATAGCCATTTTCCTAGTACAGTTAAGGAAAACAGAGTTTATAGGGCTATAAAAATGATTTGCTTACAGTTACACAGCTAGTAACTTGCAGAGCCAAATTTGAACCAGGTCAGTTTTACCCCTGATGCATCTCCTTTGAGTTCTCTGGATTCCCTGATGGAGTTGTATAGTCCCTCTGTCCATGAGATCTCTACTGCTTCCTTATAA